CCCATCACTATCTTCTGATCATTGTTCAGATGTTGGGTGATGGCACCTCCAGCTGTGCTGGCCTGTGTGTCAAAAAGGCATGATCTATATCCCACTTCCCACCATTGTTACCCACGTAGAATTGTGGGGAACAAGTGGGAAAAATGCACCCTGGAAAAAGAAATCGCAGCATGGAGCACCATGTTCACAGCCACGCTGAATCTCTGTGGGCCAGCACGGGGCAGCCCCTTCCCTCTAGGTACAGCAGAGGTGTGTGGATCCAACTCTGGGAGGACTCCTTTAATTGTTCTTCATCGTGGCCACATGTAGTTGGATTGGGGAAACGTGCTTTCCTGCAACCCCAGGAGCTTGGCCTCTGCTCAGTTTGGGATGGGTTAGAAAAGCAAACATTGTTTTAAGCCTTGCGCAAACAAGGAGTTTAGAAGTCTGGGTCCCTGGGTTCCTTGGTACTACACTTTTCAAAGTCTTAGAAGGCATAGATCTACTTGTTTTCAGCCAGGCCCGTGTGCCAGTAATTAGCCATGCCTGGCCCACCTGGGCCACGCTGAGTGAAGAGGAATTGGCTTGGACTGTATATAAAATATGTAATCTATAGTTAATATACACAGGCAACAAAACTTCCTGTCTGTGTCTGTGCCCAAGTCATAGGCTACAGGTTGAACATATAAATGGGAGATTGCAGGTGATATAGAAACTCATGCATGGTCACCTAGACTGTGTATCTTTGTAAAACTTTTCACCTATTACTAAATTATAAAGATATTTCTTTTCACATCATTAGAGGGAAAATATAATGACATATTCCCTTAAGAATTGTTACATCCTTGCCAAAGGTGGAGGAAAATATAGAAAGCATAAAGCCACATGTGGGTGTGTTACAAATCTGTATCTGGCACTTTGAATAACTGTCCAAGATATTTGTGAGAAATACATTATTTGCTAGTGTCAGGCACTTCACATACGCTATTGTACATTGTTCCCCCAAATCCATACAAGTTGGATACCATTCCTATTTTATAGGTGAAAAACTTAAATTCTGATGTTAGTCAAAGTCGAGTTGTTCAAAGTCCCTGAGCATTGAAGGTGCCGGGGCTGGACTGGAAGACAGCACCCTGCTTCTCTTTGCTGTCCTGGCTCCCAGCAGTCCTGCCCAACTGGTCTTGCAGAGACCTCTGTCAACTCCATACCTCAGGAACACTCAGTGCTGGTGCTGTGTTCCCTGAGAATGGACACAAAATCATTCACCTTCCTTGTGCTTGACAGTGAGGCCATCTCCCCTCCTAAGGAGGACTCATTCTTCCTCTGCCAAATTCTGAGCTGTGATGTTACACAGAATAATTTCTTTTTCTTTCGTGCTCCCACATGTGCATTCTCTCCTATTAGTTCATCCATTCAATAAAGGAAAGCTCAAGTTGATTTTCTGGCTGCTCAAAGTCTTGGGCTCTTGGTTGGAAAGGCCACGATCTTAATAAAGCAGGAGTTTGGTGCTTGGGCCACGGGCTGAGTGCTTGGCCTGGTAGAGGTGCCTTTGGGTACCATCCTGTTCCCCTGGATTCTGAATGCTTCCCATGAACCACGGGAAAACTAGAAAGCAAGGGTAGCAATGTCTGGGAACACAGCAGCCAGCAGGAGAGCAGGAGCACCCAGCAAGAGGATGCAGCTATTCAGAAGATGCTTTGAAAAATGCCTTTATAATCTCATTTATAGGGAATCTAAAGAAGTCTCATAGAAGTAGCAAGTGACTACCAGAGATTGGGAAGGAGGGTGGAGGGCTGGATAGGGAGACGGTGGTGAGCCAGTACAGTTTATCGTAGGTAGAAGTTTTAGGGTTCTGTTGTACAGTAGGGTAACTCTGGTTAACGATATTGTACTGAATATTTCAGATAGCTACCAGTGAGGAGCGGGTGCTAGATATGTTAACTACCCTGATTGGATCACGATGCAATGTGTACATGCATCAAAACATCACGCTGTACCCCAGAAATACCTATCATCATCAAGGGTGCATTTAAAACAAAATTGCTTTCCAACATTTAGGCATCACATCCTGCGAAGCATGTGGGAGGAAAACTATGATGGGTTTTCTGAAGTCGCAGAAAAGACTAAACATGGCCCATTTCTTGGGACATAAGGAAAAATAGGCACTGGGCCAGTGGAAACAAACAAGTAAGCCAGAAAGAAATGGAAGCTTTTCTGCTTCTCCTTACTAGTGCCTTTCCACTTTAAGAGCCAACATCACTAGCATTTTGTCAGCCAGAGTCCTCTGCAGAGAGCACTTCCAAATTCTCAGGCGAGTGACAGCAGAGAGTCACCGAGATGCTTTGAAGATTACAACACTGAATGCCCTTGGGAGTCATTAATACAAATTAACAATATCTGCTTCTTTCTAACCAGCAATGACCCCCAGTTTATGCAAAATGGCAATTCTTATTGAGAGCATTTAGAACATGGACAAATTTTGCCTCTTACGTGCTAAGAACTGACCAGCGAGTAGCACATAAGCCCATGTGCTTCTGAATTAGGAGATTGAATTATCTTCAATCTGATAATTTTTAAACTACGTGATCTTCAGCAGAACCTTTGCATTCTCTGTGCTTTATTTTTCTCGTTTACACATGAGGAAGATAATATCCACCACCCCCGGGAGTGTGTACCTGCCCAGCCCACATGTGCACAGGGAAAGCACTCGGCAAACTCGACTGCAGTTGTCGGGACGGTGATTAGTGTCAAGTCCACTACTGTTGCCACTGGTCCTGTAGCTTACTTGTTTCCAACCTTTTCTCATTCTACCAGCTGCCGCCCACGTCTCCCATGGAACATGGAAAGTTTTCCCAAATTCTACCATCAGCTCCTCCTGTACATAGGGAAAGCAGAGGGCTGTTTGAGAATGTCTGAGAATCTCCCGGAGCAGCTACCCCTCCCTCTACCCTGGCTTGGTTCTTCTCATGACTTCCTCTTTCTCTGGGGCAGACCTGGATAAACTTGTGGTTTCCTTCCTTCGAGTTCTCTGGGGAGAGCTGAGTACGGCACACTTGAAAGCCTAAAAAGTTGTCATTTCCACCTTGAACTGGTGGCTGACCTCACCAGACAGCCTGGGAAATGAATTAGTATCCTTAAGCAGTGGCAGAACAGAGGAGGTGACCCAGCTCTCCCCAGCAAGTGCAGAAACTGTCAGCCAGGAGTTAAAGTTCCCCTTCTCCCAGCCCCTTTAATTATGTTGAAAACTATGTCATATTGTTTTTGAAAAAGTTAATGAAATAGTAGGTAAAGGTGAACCAAGGAACATAATTTACTTGGATTTCATTGCAGGCTTTTGATAAGGTCCCTCATAAAAGGCCATTAAGGAAAATAGATGACCAGAGGGCTCTGGACAGAAGTCTTTTTGGTGTATTAAAAACTGGTTAAACTATTTTGGAAGGCAGAATCACTGATGCTAGCCACTTCTTGGAATGGAGAGAGGTTAATCACATACTGTCCCATGTCAGTATTTGGACTTGAGATGTGTGAATGATTTATAAAGAAAAAGAAAGCAAGACTGGCCAGGAACATGAAAGTATTATCACAGGATAAGCCTTCCAGAGATTTTAGCAGGAATGAAGGTTTGTTGTCCGTTGATGTGGAAGACATTTCTTGAAGGCAGAGCTGAGTCTACCCAGAAGATGAAATCTCCAAGCTGGAAAGTAAACTCCCCAAACCTTTCCCAGGTGACTTGCACGGCTCCAGGCACAGGTCCTTCCCAACCTAACAGGTGGTCGTTTGAAGGCTGCAACAGACAGATCAGAAATGAGTGGCATGGGTGGAAAGCACCTGAACAACAGAACGACACCACTTGGCATGCTTCGTGTTCCAAAATTGTAAAAGAATAGCCTTTTTGGTAAAAGAAAACCGAAGGAATGTAATGGGGACCCGGGCTTAAAACACATTTTCTGTGCAATTTACCTGTTTGACTCAAAGCAGCAGGAAGTAAACAAGAGATGCTGAGGATCCGTTTATTGCTTGCTTACTGTAGAGGGAAGGGATTTATTTTTTACAAGAGAAGATGGGCTTTCTATCAAAGAGCTTATAACCCCAGAGCACACCCGTTCTCACACAGCCTGCCCTCCCTTCAGATTGTCTTTTCACTGTAAAATGAGAGAGAAGGAATTATGCAAACATCTGGAGACTGAGGGCGCAAACCCAGGTCCTCCTCCAGCAGCTCCTTCCTTGGCCTTCGTGGAACACTGAGCCTCACCTGCCTTTCTTCAAGGTCAAAAAGTCCCAAGCACAAAAGTCACACGGCCATTGTGTCACAGTTGGTTCTAACCTA